ACAATATATAGTGTGCAAGACTACACTTGACAGTAAATGCCCATCAAGTTGCTGAAAATGATTTGAGAGCATTGTGCAAGTTATCCATGATTTGTTTCAAATGGTCAGTTCAATCTGAATCATCAATTCAATTTAACATTGCAGAAAAGCCCCTGGAACTCTAGAACTGATCCCAAAGCAACTGAAACTGAACTGAATCCTGCAATTCAAAGAATGATTAAATCCAATTCCCACCTAAGCTTCACATAGCTCTTCTTTTCCTTTCCTGTGAATGCTGTGTCTCTGAAGTTTAAAATCCATTTTGATAAATGCTAGGGCCAAAAAACCCCCATCTCTGCACCTTTGGGCTTATCTCAATATATTTAGCTATTTTTCCAGCTATTTTCAGCAGAAATAACACCCATAATAATTTTTGCTATGATGTGGCAAAACATGAGCAAAGCAAAGAATATTTTACTGGTGACAGAAAAAAAAATCAAGGTATTGGACTGCATAAAATGTATTTATTTACACTATTCACATATCCTTATCCACATTATCTACATAAGCACTGGTATTAATGTTCATAACTATACTCCTAGATTATCCCAATAGATACTTCTTCTCTTCAGGTGGCTCTGGAAACTATGCTTCTGAACAGGAAGTTACAAATCTCTAATTAAATGTCACCAAACTATTAATTCCAAGGTTCTTTGAAAGATGCCACAACTCTTCAATGGATAAATCTTGTAAATATGCATGGTGCATAGAAATTTCCATCAAAATACTTGGAGTGCAAGCTTTTAATCCCCCTTTTTATATGGGCAAATTGTCTTTAACTAAATGTTCATCCTGCTGTCCAAAGACAAGCACAACAGCATCCCAGAAGATCCCACTTCACCCATCTATTTAGAGTCATATGATGGAATGTTTAAGTGGCTTTTAAAAATACTTCAACCAGCTTTCTTAGCCAGGGACACTAGAATACTGACTGAGAATTGAAAGAATGGGTTCTAATCAATGTTTCAGTGGAGATACCAAATTCCTTTAGACATTGCAAAAACCAACTCTACCTGCCATTGGAGTTACAATCTAAAAAGACTCAGGAGGGTGTTCCAAATGTTAATTTTCCACTGTGGCCATCAGTGATTTGCTTTGTACAACATGCTACAGTTTTGAGTAGTACCAAATCAGAGGCATCACAACACATGCATATATTGGTCCATGGCCATTAATATATTAATAGTCTAAACATCTATTTTATAAATTTCAAATATCTGCGAATAAATCTTTGAGAGGGAAAAAAGGATCAGAAGGTATTGGTTTCTCTCAAAAATAACCTTAGAATAATTGTTATACTTTTGAATGTGATGATGGTTAATCCTGAATATGAAGAGGAAAATGTGAACAAAACAGGGCAAGTAATACAGATTTGCCATTCCAATTCCTGGAAAATGAGCAAATACTGTACAGAAAAGCTAATCTAACTACTTACTGAATCACATATATCTCCCATGTATTTACTAAACATTTTATTTTAATCAATGTGATATTTAAATAGCTCAAACCAAACTCCCTCGTGGGTTAATTGCTGGGGACATTTTTCTCTTGCATCATTTACAGAATGACTTTTTTTTTGTAAAAAAAAAAAAATTCAGCTGGCTATTCTGAGACATTGGCTTTGTCTGTCACTTTCCTTTCTTCCAACTTTCTTGAAAGCTGTTTTTATTATGGCTTTTCTCTGCCATTTTCCTGGGTCAGTAACAGAATGGAGACTCACCAATGCCAGCAGAAAGCAACTGTGATGGTAGTTGACTAAACTGCCCATCAAAGTCTAAAAGAAACTTGCATTTTCTTTGATGATGATGATGATGATGATGATGATGATGATGATGGCAAGCAGTAGTTAGCTCCTTGATCAGATTTAAGAATCCTAATTCGGGCTTCATCCCTGCTACAGGGGATGAGGGAAAGAGAGAGTTGCACATAGTCTCCCAATATTTGAGGGGCTGCCACAGGAAGGAAGGGGTCAAGCTATTTTCTAAAGCGCCTGTAGGCCAGACAAGGATAATGGATGGAAACTGAACAAGGAGAGATTTAACCTGGAAATAAGGAGTAACTTTCTGACAGTGAGAACAATCAACCAATGGAACAGAAGTTGCCCTTGGAAGTTGTGGGAGCGCCATCACTTGAGACTTTCAAGAAGAGATTGGACTGCCATTTGTCAGAAATGGTGTAGAGTTTCCCGCTTGGGCTGGGGGGTTGGACTAGATGACCTACAAGGTCCCTTCCAACTCTGATTATCTGTTATCTGTTAGAATTTGAACTTTCTCATACGTTTATTAGCCTGGGAGGACAATGTCTTAAAAGCATAAGAAATGGTTCTCCAAAGGTGTGTATCTTACAGCTGGAATTTCAGCATGCTGTGTTATTAATTTAACAAAAACATTATTATTACTTTTTCCTTCCTTATAAGCTATAAATATTGCTTACTTAAAGTTGAGTTCAATTTCGATACAGAAAAATGTAATTCTGAAGAGCAGGTAGGGTTGCACTAAGAAAAGGTAAATCTATTTGCTTAGGTTTTATACCTGTACTAAAACAGAAATAATTTAAAGAAACATATAAATAGAGAAACCATACCTATTTTTGACCTTTCTTCACTGAATTCAGGATTGGAAATTCAGTGCTAAGTCTGCTCAGCCCCATTCACAACAGAGACATAATATTAAAGTAAGAAAATTGGAGGTGTACTGTTATATTATGAAGACCACAAGAGAACAGAACCGAGATTACATAACAGAGGATTTGCTGTGGTCAGTAGATTTGCTATGAAAGAACCAAACCATGTGCTTCAGATCGTATCTGTAACAAATCACACTGACATCCCTTATGAATGAGTTAGATTCTAACTAGTCAGCAAAATGAAACAATAAGGATCAGCTACTCATTGTGGGCTGATAATACAGGATGAAAATGCAAACAGAACCCAAAATACCACTTTCTTTTTGGATACTACCAATGTTCTTTGTAAAGAACATTGTCATATATGAGGAGGTTTTTCAATTCTCTTAATGCCAATCCTTACATTAAATGCCATCATCTATTTTCAGGACAGAAGTAACAATAGATTTACTGCAGTTTCAAAATTAATAAAAGTGCAAAGATATTTATAGCAAAACTTTGGGAAGGAACCCTCCAAATAGCTTAGTGAGAACAGACCATGCCCATTGAACATGTAATCATGATTGGAGGGGGAATAGAATGGCATAGTCACAATATTAAATAAAGGAGCCCTTCATATTACTACATTACATTGTTAATCTATGCTTGCATTAATCTCTAAGGTGAAACAGAACTAAAAATATGCCAAATATCTCACTTCTATTTCAGTAATCCAAAGTGCTTCCTTTGCAAAAAGAAAAATGCAATGATCTCTTAATATTTTTCTCTCTAAAATACTTTTTTCTCAAGATATTGGTTAGAAGGAGAATTTCACAAAACAGTACCATCTTGTGAATCTGAAAGGAGAATAAATCAAATCTTGAGCATTGAGGTGTTTAAGGAATGGGAACTATGCAATTAAAGAGAGATTAAGCAGCTAGAAACCACATTAAACAAAATCAGGTTGTAAATGTTTGGCTAAACTGATGAACATCCAAGCTAAATATGAACGGATATAAACATTCCCTGAAGCAAAAGGCACAAAGTACACTTGCAAATCATCCCACAATTGTAAGTCATACCAAAATGTCATGTAACAGGAATGCAGTGAGTAAGATTGGCAAAGAAAAAAAGAACCCCAGTGGCAAATCCATTACAATATAAAAGGGTAATAATAACAGGCATATTTAAAAGGCAGTGAGATGTTAAACTTGAAAAACAGGTCTGACACGCTAATCCTCTTCTCCCTTCTGTGTCCCTAATATATGGGCTTTTTCATTCTACATTTGGGAGCCAAGGAAGCCGAGATTGTAGACATATCACCAGTCCAAAACACAAATCAGAAAGCAACTGAGTGGTGGAATGTTCCAAAGAGCAAATCTTAAGAGAAAATATGCAGGTTTCACCCACAACTGCTTTCAATGGTGAAAGAAAACTTCAACGAGAACATTCAAGTGAGTTATATCTTGGCCCAGAAAAAAGGAATGGAAAAAGATACTCAAAGTAGCACCAGTGATTTGAGTCTGATGGGCCAAATAAATTTGAAAGCTCAATGGTTCTGAAGAAGCTGGCAAAAAGACTTCTACGAAGCTAAAATGAAGGGAATGGGGATTACAGGTAGTCCTCGATTTGCAAAGTTCATTTAGCGACTGTTCAAAGTTACAACGGCACTGAAAAAAGTTACTAATGACCATTTTTCACACTTATGACAATTGCAGCATCCCTATGGTCGTGTGTTCAAAACTCAGATGCTTAGCAATTGACTCATATTTATAACGGCTGCTGTATCCTGAAGTCACATGATCCCCTTTTGCAACCTTCTGACAAGCAAAGTAAATGGGGAAGATTCACTTAACAACCGTGTTACTAACTTAACGCTCACTTAACAAATGTGGCAAGGAAGGTCATAACACGGGGCAAAAACTCACTTAACAAATATCTCACTCAGCAATAGAAATTTTAAGTTCAGCTGTGGTCATATGTGGAGAACTATCTGTAATGGATCCCAAATGACAGATGTTTTAAATAGATCATCAACTGAGGCCCTGCTCTCTCTCTCTCTCTCTCTCTCTCTCCTGGTTATATTAATCGTGGCCATACAGGAATAGCAATAGCACTTAGACTTATATACTGCTTCATAGTGCTTTACAACCCTCTCTAAGTGGTTTACAGAATCAGACTATTGCCCCCAACAATCTGGGTCCTCATTTTACCCAGGCAGCCAGCAGTCAGCAGAAGTAGCCTGCAGTACTGCACTCTAACTACTGTGCCACCACAGCTCATAATGACAGCATGATTGCCATAAATTGCATGGAATGCTATCCTAAGACTGAGACCTTCCGAGCTTTTTATACCAAGACCATGAGGGGTTTTAAGTGGCATCCTAAGTAATTTGCAAGGCTTAGAGCCCTGATTTTTGTCCCCAAAAGATACAGAAATGGTTCCAATCTTTTCACCAAACCCTGGGGAGCACAAAAAGGAGTCTGGTGAACAATGTGTATTTTCATCCTTCATATAAAATAGTAATGTTTAAAAGACACGTAGAACTTGAAAGGAAACATAGATTAAGCTAGTCAGGTACATACACTGTACTATTTGAAACAATTACAGAAGGAGACCTATAAATCTATTTACAAACTTCTGTAAAATCTTGGGGATTTTTCTGCAATCAAATCACATTTTGTCATCAGCAATCACCGGAGTTTTCAGTGAAAGAAGAAAAGAGAAAAGTAAAGTAAAGGGTAAGATAATAATGAAAGATAGAAAAAAAACAAAAAAGGGACAACTGTTAGTTGATAGAAAGCAGCAAAGACATGAAAACCGAATGATCCAGGCAGTGTTTTACATTTACAATTAAGGTGCTTTGACAATTCTTAATCTAGAAAAATAAGATAAATATTTTAAATTCAGTCAGAATTACAATGGAATCTTAAAATATAATTTGGAAAGAGCAATTTTCATAATATGCCACGAGCAGTTTGCTTGATGACTGTGAAGAAAGTTGGAGTGGAATGTACAAAGAATTGTAGTCTATTTTATCAAAAGAACATAAAGTTCAACAGTGTCAAGTATGGAAAACAGAAAAAGCCCAGAAATCAACGGGCAACAACTGAAAAAAGTTCTGAAAACAGTCGACTAGAGAAAGATTGCAATGAATACTGAAATATCAAAACAGGAAAGGAACTGAATAGATATCTTAGAAATTCTTTTTGTATTGTTTTTGATCCAGGCCTTAATGTACTCACACATACCAGCAGGATAAATTGTACTTTTTGCAAATCTTGACAGTCAGCTTCTTGGGAAAAAGATAAAATATATATTTTTATTATAAACTTGTGGTGCCCTTTGAAATGAAAAAAGAGGATTTTGTTGATAACAGAAGGCAAGCCAAAAGGAAAGGGAAAGGGAAAAGAATCAATCAAATGAGGGCACATTTGAGTGATAATTAACTGGAATACCTTGCGTGCCAGTTTTCTTCATACTGTATTTAATAATATAAGCATCAAATAATCCAGTAAAGCAATCCCATCTCTTATCCCAAACTCCTCCTATATGTTTTTAAATTTAAGAGGCTCAGATTATCTATATTACATTTCTGTAGTTAAACTAAAAACCATTACTTTGAAAATAGAAAGGACAAGACTTATAGTGCTGATGGAAAGTCTGGTAAAAAAAAACTGACAAATGCATTCCAGGGGAAAAAGGGTTTTAAGAAATAAAGAAATGAATAGTAGATGTTTGTGACACATGTTCAAACAAAATACTTGGCAGTACAAAAAAAATTAAAGCTCTGATACTTGAAGCAAATATTTGTGCTGTACAAACACCATTGCAAGACAAATGAAAAAAGGAGGGGAACAAAGAAAATGGTGGTTTTCCCCTAACAGTTTCTGAAATACAGGAGCTCAGGATCAATTGGTAAGGCCTTCTAGTACCATCGTAAATAGCTGCACTTCTGAAAATATCTAGCTGTATAACACATCTTTGGCTGGATTCATAGAGTCACTTCTTAACTCACTTGTGCTGATTTTTGACCACCTGATAGTTTTATAATGAGATTTAATATGGCCTGAATTGTGTTATAAAATAAAACACTTTTTAAAAAAATAGCTGCCAGAGTGTGGGAACTCAAGAGCCAAAGGCTTGCAAAATCTTCCCCCAAATCCAAGTTCTACTTGAATTTTGCTGTGTCATCAATGCAGGGATCTCTGTGACATGATCACAAAATTGGAAATCAGGGAAGACATACTGGCAGAGGCAAGATCCTAGCCTCTGAATAACCTAACCCTCGTATAGGTTATTTTCCAGATTGAGATACACTTTGAATTTGGTTTCTTACACTCTTCCAAAGGCTCTTGAAGCACGCATGATAAGAGGCAACTGTGTCTTGAAAGTGCTTTTTCTATTGGGGGAGAGGAATCAATGGTTCAAATTCTCTGATTGTTTCTGCAGATCCTGGAGAAGTCAAAAGATCACAAGTAGCTTGAGGACTGCAGCCAGTTAAGTACCTGAGACATTAAAACGAGGGCCAACCCAAGCGTTTTTCTTTGGGTACATTGTCTCCTGACCCTCCTGACTCATTTTCTTTACTCAAAAAAGACTTTTCACTGTAGCCTTGCAATAGTATTTGCAGTTATACGAGATGATGGTTGTTAAAACATAATACTCTACACAGATATCATCCTCACAACAACCCTGTGAGGTAGGTAAGCATTATGAACTCCATTTCATAAAGTGTGGGTGGGAGAGGAGGTGAGGGCTTTAAAACCACCTCCCCACTAATTCAGTGGGAACATTCAGGAGGATCTCCCTGCTTCCAGAATCACAGTCAAACTCATCCGTCCATATGTTTGGCACAGCCTTATTTGTGTCTTTAACATCACAGTACAAAACAGAGCATCATGCAAGGGGAGTAGCACAAAATAGATAACCACAGAATAGCAAGATTCTTTTGTACCAGCAAACAGACCCAGGCATTGATCATGGGAGCTGCACGTGCTTGGCTGCTAGGAGCCAGTTTCAAAAAGAAGGAAAAAGAGTAGCTTCTCAACCCTGGAATGTTGGATGTTTAAGGCATAGCACTATAGGAATGGAATAATGATCAAACATGACAGAAATAGTCCCTACAGACAATAATAAATAGATATGGAAGCTGACAGTGGAACACCTCCCCTGTTCCTCCTCTTGAAGCTTTATGGAAATCCCTCAAACTGGGGGGACTCAAAAGTCCACCTGGTCACAGAAGTCTATATCTCCATATCCACAGGTCTGATGTTACCAGTTTTGTGTTCTTTTACCCACAGTTCTCTGTCTTTGGCTGGATCCACTTTCTGAAGCAACTGATCCACAGGTTCCACTGTCTGAAAAACACAAGAGCCACATGCCATTATTTTCCAAGATCTACAAATAAATGCCAGTTCCCATGAGCCCCTTTATTTTTTCTTCTTCAACATGCAGGTTTGTTCTTTTATGTTTAACTTTATGAAAGTAGGGGTTATAAATGCCCACTTCCAATGTGGGTTTTAAATCCTCCTGACCTTACACTGTCAAGAATCTCACTTCAAGGGCTCCAAGTGACTGATCCAGACTCAAAGTAAACAGTACTTATTGAGAGAGCCGAGTTATCTGTTTTTGTGCAGTCACATACATTAGCAGGCAGAAGATTCTATATAAGTTTTCAGATTTCTATAAAGCTTGCAGAAGTACAGGATGAGAAAGGATTGCAAGATAAGTAGACTCACACTTTGGTTGAACATGTCTGTCTCGTGTCGCAACTGTGTATATTGGCAAAGGTGCTGCCGAATCATTTCCACCCTCTCGACTTCTAGCCTCTCAAGTTCCTGAAATGAAAGAATGAAACATGTTCATTAATAAATAAGGAATAAAGCCTCATCACGGTGAATCAAATATAAAGCAATTGTTTATTCATTTTAGCCTGTTTGGGTACTTTGTAATTGCTCCCTAGAGCAAAGGTGGGCAATCCACAGATAATGGACAATTTTCATGGCCTTTGACAGTCCCCCAAGTCCTGCTATCAAAATTTGATGGCCAGCCAGGCTAGGCATGATTGTTCATTAAAAAGTAAAATAAAATCAGAAATAGAACACCAAATTATTTGATAGGTTTAATCTCTTAAAATATCTTATTTTACTGAATTCTAACCTCCAGCAAAACAAATCAAAATCTCTCAGTATGCTACATTATTGTGACACCCCTTTAAAATGCTTCCTTTCCTTTCCTTTCCCTTCCCTTCCCTTCCTTTCCTTTCTTTCATTTTTCTTCTTCTTTCCTTTCCCCCTTCAAATATATTCCATAGTTCTGAGTGGACAAATAAATATTTTCTCAAAAATTGTAAAATTGAAGATAGGCATATATGTGCTAAGTAAGTCAATAATGAGAAAAAATACAACTGATCGTTTGTGTGTTTATGTTTGTGCTTTCAAGTCAGCTTTTTGATTCCCTGTGACTGTCTAGACTAGTCTCTGCAGTTTTTCTTGGCAAGATTTTTTGGAAGTGGTTCATCATTGACTGATTCCAAGGCCTCAGAGTGACTGGCTGAAGATCACCCAACTGGATTTGTGTCTCAGATGGGACTATAACTCTCAGTCTCTTGGTGGCTTAACCACTACACATTAAACTGGCTCCCATCTATTTTACCATGTATTTATTTAACATGGTATCCCACTGGCTATCAAGATGTCTCAGCATGTTATAATATAAAACAATTTTAAAATCAAGACATTACAAACAGTTAAAATGGCAATTAAAACAAGCTAACTGAAAACATTCATCATTGCCTTACAACAAAAGAATATATTTAAAGGCATTTTTTTTAAAGTTAATAAAGGTCCTAGGCCCCTCAATATTGCAGGTCATGCATTCCAAGGAGCTGAGTTAGCAATCAAAAAGGCTTAATCTTGACTCACCACAAGACAAGCTCACAGCAATTGTTGGCAACCCCCCCCCCCAAGTGATATCTTAAAGCATGGAGGTTCATATAGGAAGAAGCATTGCTTCAAGTGGGGGATCTACATAGTGACATGACATGGAGCAGTTTCTAGACAGAAGGCTAGGAAATGTAAAGTTTAAATGCAGGGATTTCTAATCATGTGATATTCATATGGGACTACTGGTTCCAAAGGTAGCCCCACTATTATTATTATTTAAATATAATTTTAGTCTAAGAAAGGGAGAATATACAACCAAGTTTGAGCAAAAATTCAAGATCAGGGATTTCAGAATTGGAAACACTGTTATATATAAAATGGGCTAAAATATGTAATTATACTCAAGATGGAAAAAAACACCTTACTGCTAAAATATGCACTGTAGGGCGAAGCTAAAATTTAACTTACCAGAGAGGTGGTTACCATTTCCTCAAACCATTTTGACTGAGCTTGGTTATACAAATCCACACAACGCATGAGATCATCTCCTAAAAAACAAATTCCCCAAATCATCATGTGAGTTCTTCTTGCAATTCATTCATCTACCCAAAGGGTGCTTTACTATTAATATCAGTGCCATTATGATTTCAGTTTTTGATCTTTCCTAGGATTATATTGCAGCTATGCAGGGCAACTGCACAATTTTAGTGAAAGATGCTATGACAAGACAGGTATTACATAATTGCCTTCTTGCATATTAAAACACTTTTCTGCCTTTCAATATAAAGCACTGTCCTAGTAGATAATTCGAATTAATTAAGAAAAAAGCAAAAACTAATCTCTTCATCCTTGGTAGAAGTGAGAAAGTCATTAAGAAACATATTGCAATTTCAGCTGGTTGGTTGGCATGTCTCATTAACTTCATATTAAGAATGTTTAAGAGAAGATGAAGAAACAAAGGTCAGTTCTATTACTGCCTACCCTTTTTCCCCTTTAAGGAAATCTCCCTAGGTTTCCCTGATCAAAGAATAATGAATCAAATAATATTTGACTACAAATGAAAAATTATTGTTTCTTTTCTTTGGAAATTCCAATTTATAAATTGCATTCTAAAGTTTAGTGATCAAATTATACTTATCAAAGAATCCTTAGGTGAACAGAGTTGATACAGCTTCCACATGGAAGTTAAATATAAAATCCTTTTGCAATTTGATTGCTTACTGCCGATGTGTGTACAGTGAATTAATCAATTTATAACACCTTCTTGGGCAGAAACAGCAACTTCCAAACTTTTCCTACAGACAACTAAAAGTCTTTTGAAATTTCTTCCCACTCTTCCTTATAGGATTGCACATAAATAGTAAGGATGTTTTCAGATTTGCAGAAAGATGTCTTGTTTAAATTTGGACCTCAACCATGTAGTGCCTGTGTCAACTTCTGTTTACTTCAGGATTCAATGAAACATACAATTTAACCAGCAGTAAATAAACTTTGCCTGCAGCTGTAAACAGAGACATGTCAGAAAACCAAATGGGAAGATAATTTAACCAAGAGTAGATCTTGGTTAATCTTCACAAAGGTTTGCCTATTAGCAATTTTGCTGACTGAAACAAACACACTTCAGTGGCTTTTGTGTACTTGTTTCTTTCTAACCGAGTAATTCAATAAGTCCCAAATTCTGCACTGAGATAGAACAGTATGATCTATGTTAATTGTATGCAATAATACATATTGTCAGCTTTGGAAAGCTGACACATATGTTTTATCATAAAGTTGACTTAGGTGATAATTTGACTATCTCTCCTGCCATCTACTGTACAATGCAAACAGTAAAAATTTTTACATAAGCAAATATAAGTAATTTCAAACTGAGAAAATATAAAGGTTAGCTCCAGTTCTGTTTGTCACACAGTTCAGATAAATACATGAAAAAGAGAAATACTTTAAATCGGTTTATCTCTATAGTACCAAAATATTCACATGATTCAATTAATTTAAGAAATATTGGTACAGTGATGACATAGGTGTGGCTTGCCTTCTGCAGCTGATGCTCTCCGAGTATGATGGATTTGGAGACTCTCAAATCCATTGGATAGGACCAAGGAGGACTTGCTAGCTGGAGGTATATAAGATGGTCCAACTCTATTGAAGACTGTGCTGGACTCATGTCTTCTAATACTGGCTACTTTTCCTTAATTTCCTTACATGCATCTTAAAAGTGAAAGTATGGGATGGCTATAATGGTCTCTATTGCAAAGGAACTAAATTCTGAAAACAGGATCAACAGGGCCAAAAGATCCAAACTGGTTTTTCAAATATGGTCTATCAGACGAAATATAGATAAAAAGTTAAAGAATGCAGTTTTGATCAATGCCAAAATTTAATGAATCACATTCTTCTTCCTAGCTAAATCAGTAGAAGGCTTTTTTATACCCCATTTCCCTTTGACATTCAAATTTCCTTGTTTCTGTGTCTTTGTACCGCACAGTGTCCTCATTCTACATTCACTCACCAGCTTGAGTAGACTTCCGCCTGGCCTTTTTAATTTCCTCTTCTGTCTTGTTGCTCAGTTTTATCTCCAACTGCTGTGTTTTCATCTCTAAATCCTTTTGCCTCTCTGTTAATGCTTTTCGAGCCTTGAAACAAACCAAGAGCCATAAATTTCTTCACAGAAAGAAATATCTATCTGTCTTTTCCTTTCCAAAAGATTTATTCTTTTACAGACTAAATATAGTATGCGCTATGACTTTCGTAGCTAGAACATCAAGGAAATGAACAGGTGCACTAACTCCTGGATGAGACCTTGAGCACCAAACTATTAGGAACTGAAGCACCACCAAGTGCCCGAAAAAAGGTGTACAAATAGGCAGTTTCTAGGTGACACTATTGAGGAGCCCTAGTGGTGCAGTGGTTAAATGAAGTATTGCAGGCAAACTCTGCCCACAGCCTGGAGTTCGATCCTGATGGGGCTCAAGTTTGACTCAGCTTTCCATCCTTCTGAGATCGGCAGAATGAGGGCCTAGATTGTTGGGGGCAATATGCAAATAATGCTTACATTGCAATCTACCTAGAGAGTGCCGTAAAGCACTGTGGGTGGTATTTAAGTCTCAATGCTATTATTCTTTGGAATCCTATTTCATTTAGTCACTTTAAAACACTGCTGCATAGATTACATTGTATTTCCACAATTTGGTTCTTTTCAGGATTTTGTGCCAGCAGAAGTAAAGGATAAAATTATTGACCTACTCCTTTCACTTATCCAAGTTGTCCAAACTAGTAATTAAACATATTCGTATTGTTTATAGGATAGCATCTTCTGTTATACATTAGGACATAGGACATAAAATATAGGCTAGACAACATGGCATAAATAATCTTGCCTTCCTGTTTCTATCCTGCCACTTTCTTTTCTTCGCAGGATGACTGTCACTCCACTAGTATGGCCAACTAGACCACTTGAAGTGGTGGTTTACAACTTGAAGAACCATATTTTTCTTACAATCACGTTATATATGCACTATTTTTTCCAAACTGTCTGTCTGTCTATCTATCTATCTATCTATCTATCTATCTATCTATCTATCTATCTATCTGTCATCTACACATCCGTCCGTCCATCCATCCATCCATCCATCCATCCATCCATCCATCCATCCATCCATCCACCTACCCATCTATCTATCATCTAAGCAAAAGGATTTCTATGGGAAGCTTTTGAGCATGCACACCAGTTTGCCTTATTTATGACAAATTCTTACCTTTTCCACTGCTGCATACCTACTAACCAGCTGTTTTCGCAAATCAGCAATATGATGGTCATATTTTTTCATATCTTTCTTGAAGTTTTCACGGAAGTTGAGTAGTGGTTTCTCCACTTCTGCCTGGAGCTGGCATAAAGGGGAAAAAAAAGGAAAAAATGGTTAAAGAGGTTTTAGATGCTAGGAACTGAGGCATGGATGTATACTTTGATTTGGAATAGGAGAAATGGGAGAATTCCTACTTCTTTTTTGAATTTTAGAGCCAATTAGTTTCTATACATAGTGGGGTAACAATAACCAATCTTGGCTAAAAGCTAATATAAATGAGTCAAACTTATTTGTAGTTAAAAACCAGGAAATACCGGTAATATGAACTAAACAAGAGAGTTAAAAAAAGTCCAACCTATTTCTATCCTCCTGTAAAGAAAACTATATGAACAAGGCCTGAAGTTATTAGGACTTGAAGTTAATCTGAAGAAAATGCTAACCCTCTTATATGGGAGGAAGAATTGGAAAGTACTGTAAAAAATTCTGAAAAGTAGAAAAAAGCGAAGTGATACAATCATGGATTTCATATATGTTTTGATCCTCATATATCTGTGCGAAGCAAACACTTCAAAGTAAAGAGAGGAAAAATAATCCTGAAGATTTCAAAGCAGTTGCCACTTTTATAATGAGATATATACAAATTTTCTGTCTCTCTCTATGTCGAAGGGATGGGGGAAGGAATAACAAATTCTGAAACAAAAAATGAGCCCTTAAAATACAATTCGATTCCTGCCACTTAGAATAAACTATTTTAAAATTTCAGCATTTCAGAGAGGAATCAATTATTGTTTTAACTGTAAATTGGCTACAATGCAAACGGAATCAACACATGGTTATTTAGGCCTTTGTCCAAATATCATCAAATTATAAAATATTGAGATTGCAATCTTGTATGTGATAATGAAAAAAAGGAGAGGTTACCTACCTAATAAGTGGCCAGTTCTTACTACTACTACCACTACTACTGTTAATATTTTGATGAGCACTAGGAAATTAAATTTGGAAAAAAAACCTGAAGAAATGATATTGTCTAATCTCTGATAAACATTAGCACATACTTAAATTTATGATATTGTAATCAATAACTTTCGGGAATGAAATTTTATCTGGATCAGGAATGAACAATGTAATCTCAGGTAATCTCAGGGCCATAAAAACATGATTACATTTGACAACTTAGAGGAAATGATTTGATACCTTAGAGGAAAATTTAAGATGAACCTCTGCTTCATCAGCCATGCTTTTTTTTAGCTGAGACCAAGATTCGCCAAGTGTCCTGCAATGTATAAGTCTGGTTAATAAGAAATGACTTCTTTGTTAGGATCTGAAGCTCATCATTACCACAGTTAATGGGATTAGCTATTAGCCAAAGCACAACGTTTAACATTACTCTCAATAATTCTCTCTCTAAATGTATACTCCTCTTTGAATTCAGCAAAGACATATTCATGAATACCTTTAGAAAAATCTCACCCAACTCTCAATATTAATAAATGAAACTCACAATGTAAAGCTTAAAACTAACATTTATTTCAAATAAACCATCAACTTTTTGTGTTCTTAGTTTTAGATTCAGAAGATGAAACTAATGAAACAGGAGATTTGGGTGAATAAAATTATATTTTTGGAATACCAAAAGTTAAATCTAATATGAATTTAAGCATGTCATATGAAATGGCTATAAAAGGTGAATTAACTCCAGAGAACTTTACTATAAAACTCCCTTAAACTTAAGCTTGAGGATTGCTTAGAGGGATGGGCCTTTATGATTTAATTAATTGTTAATTGTTTAACTGTTTTGGTTCTTTTGGCAAAATCATATACAATGTAAAATGATTGGAAATAAATCACAAAAACACAGGTTTTAATCTGTTCTGATGTCTGAAAAGAAACTAAATTTGTCAACATTACATTTTTAAATGAACTTTTATGTGGTCTAAGCATAAGGGCCCATAATCTTGTGACAGTTGATGTAGTATAATTCAGCAGCTAACAGTGGAAGTTACAACAAATCTATGGAATAAAACTTTATCTGTCATATTTACATATCAAGCCCAGAGTTTAGTATATCTGGAATGTGCATGATAAGTTTACCAAACTATCTATGCTTTGAACACTTTTTACACATACAACAGATGGACAATTTAGGAGAAATATTATAGAAATATTTCTACAAGCACTTAGAATACTTCAGAAGAACATCTTTATTACAACATGTAGAGTAGGTCATGTTCTGAACCCACAAATAAACAAGCAGATCTAAATTAGTTTAGAACCTAAATGGGAAATCTTACGGGGAATCAGGGCAACATCTTCAGCAACATCATGACAAAAAAAGATAGGATGTAAATGACAAATGCATTTCATCTAGCTTTCTCCCCAGTTTCCCCCTAAAATGTCTAGAAAGAGGTAAGCATAATCTACTCACTCTGAAATGTAAAGCGCCTTATTAATTAATATATAAGCTATATATTATAGTACACCAGAATCTGAAATTACTCAAACAAATTATATTTACAGGTATTAGTGTCTCTCTGTATCCCTCTCTGAAAAGGGATGGATGTGTGTGTGGGTGTGTATTGCTATTCCATATAAGACTGTTCTGAAAAATATTCTGTTCTTTCTGTATGGATGATATTTTATAGACTTGTTGTAATAGTGAATGCTTTTATTTTAAAAGAATAACTGAGAAAGTCCCAATGCTTTGACCACATTACTGTATAAAGAATCACTTTGGGTCAGCTAGGTATCTTATTTCAATTGCAGCAAATATGACAACTTTGGATATCATTAAAAAAAACCCAACCAGTTTGATTAATTACATATCTTCACCAATTCAATTTCTTCCTTCATCTGCTATAATATATAGCTTACATATCATAGCCATATATGGAAGAAGAATTAGACAAGATGGTCCAATGTTCTAATATTCTTCTTGTAGAGGAAGATGAATCTCCTAATAATGCCATCAATTTTAGAGCAACTGTAATCTGGCAGGTAATTAGAATACAAAAATGCAAATTTACCCTTCTTCCTGGGCAGCCAGGGAGTTCTGTGATAGTTTAGATAGGTTCTTGGCATATTCTTCTTCAATTTTTATTCTGGAAAAAAACCATCAGTGACATCAGCCAAAAGCTATTATGTATTAGAAATGTAGCTTGTAATTATAATCAAATGCAGTACATTTAGCAGCTCATCTCTTGGGAACCTTTATTTTTATATATTTATAGTTTTACCCACAAAGTTTGCCAAGAAAATTAATGATAATTTAATAATTTCACTAAACTCATGGATTATAATCACAATCCCATATAAAATATCCATGAGTTTAGTGAAATTATATAGGTCTAAGTGCTATTGCCATCCTATATGCCTATATGTCGTTATTCTGCAGTTGATAAAGCAGTGATAAAAGAGGGAGGAATAGAATAACTCTTAAATTAATACACAAGATTTGTATTTACGCACTTCTTTCCAAAAGTTTCCACTGATATTTATTTGCCGAAAAAGTCCTTACATTCACAAGGAAAGAACGAAGAGCAAAGCAAACTTGGATTTACAAGGTCTAGTAAGTACAACCAGATTTCAAGTTAAAGAACATTCCCTGTGCCCTGAAGAATGAAGATTTGTTGATGCCCACATTTTGTTAAAGGGATGCTAAACAGTTTTTATATTTAAAAGCTTCCATTGAGTCATGAGAGCATTTCACTATTAATTCACCAAAGCATAATTGTAGGAAATGAACTGATGCTGCAGCCCTTTTATTTTTGCTCTCTCTCTGATCAGGCAGACAAGTCCATTCATGGAACAGAATGTTCCAATCACCAGTTGCAAGTTGCTCTCCCTCCTATTATTATGTGGAAAACGATTTAGAAGAATGCTCTTTTTAAAAGAAAAATTATAAATAACGAGCAGCTATAAATAATAACTGTTTATCTTTCTCTCTTGGTTTACCCTTCCATGTCACACAGACGTTTTAATTTATTTAAACGGCCAGAGCTAATGTGAGCATTTGGGTGGAAAGGGGGGTGGGTGGGGTGGGGTGGAGAGATTTCTGAGATATGTCAAAATCAGCAAGAAGCATGACTCATCTGGACTCAGAATGAACTCAAGCAAATTGTACTCCTCTCTTTCTGTAGCAAATATTTAAACGGGTCCTTAGTAATTATAAGAGCTGTTTTCATATTAAGGAACCACCTGAGGAAACATAGAGCTTGCTAGTTTTTAATACACCCAGCCTGGAGCAATGACATTGTGAAACAGAGCTCCTAAGATGGAAATTCCTACCAAGGAAAGAGGGGCCAATGATTTTTGCCAACTCCCTGCCTCTCTCAATTGCAATTGCTGCAATCTCTGAAAATCAGAAGGAAAAGACGCTTCCAACAAAATGGGGATAGGGTATGATTAATTGAAGATAATTAGAATTTTCTTAAGTGACCCTCTTTATAAAAATTAGCATATTTCTGTTGATACAAACTTTGGACTTTTGATATTTTGTTACATAGAAAAAAATGTTTTCTTTGTTTTCTCATTGTAGATATCTTTCTCATTGTAGATTCTATACATAAAGTGAGAGGGCAGAAAGTGAGAAGATATTTCTACACATGATTGCTGTAATTTGTTGAAGATGGAGCTGCTTTTAAAGACCACCCAGAAATTTCAGCTGGTCCAATATGCAGCAACTCACACTGGTCCATCGTGGTACTGCTATCTTACTCCATTGCAGTTGGAGATGGATTGGCTACTACTAGGCTTCCAAGTACAACTCACCCTACTGGTTGCTATCTTTAAACCAGGGGTGGGATTCAAATTTTTTACCAACCGGTTCTGTGGGCTTAGGTGGTGGGCGTGGTTTGGTGGTCATGTGACCAGGTGAACGTGGCTTGGTGGTCATGTTATTGGTTGGGCATGGCCAACTCAATATCACTCACATCGAGGCACACATCTCCTCACCTGGCCTCTCCTGACAGTGGGGATGCTGCAACAGTCGTAAGTGTGAAAAATGGTCATGTTACTTTTTTCAGTGCCATTGTAACTTTGAATTGTCATTCCAGACAAGCAAAGTACCAGCAAAGGAGGGGGGAAAAACCTCCAGAGATGTTCTTGAGACAGGAAGTCTAGTCCTGCCAAGAATGTAATAAGGGTTAACGGAGAGGCAGTTTCTGTAAGCAACACCAGAATGTTTCCTTCCTGCCTTCCTTACAGGATTAGGTCAGTAATTTCTTCTAACAACCAGTTCTCCAAACTGCTTATAATGTTAACAACCGGTTCTAGCGAATAGGTGTGAACTGGTAGAATCCCACCCCTGCTTTAAACCTATTAATGGCTTAAAGTCTATATATTTCAGAGACTGCCTTTCCCTGATCAGATTTGCCCACCTGATCCTGCCAATCACAGAATACCAGCTTAGGACTCTTGGGTATTAGGTAGTGTGACAGGAAGGGACCTGCAGGTGGACATTCTCTTTGATAGCTTCCCTACTATGAAACCCTCGAGGCAACTCTGGGTCATCCTTACTCTTAAAGTCTTTCTAGCTTTTCTAGAGGGCCATTCAGTATTGATTCTGGAACCTTGTATTAGTTTTTATTATAATGACATTGATTCTATTTTATAACTATTATTTTTATACTACTATGTTTTATTATATATATTGTAAACCACATGAAGTCTGTTTGAATTGAGGCAGTATACAGGTGATAATTGGGACTGGAATTTCTGCCACAAACTGATATGGCCATAAAGCACAATAGGACCACACTGCTTGACAATCCCAGTAGCTCTTGTTGCTGTTGATAAGCAAAGTACAGTTAGCAAGTCTTTCCTTCTTAGGTGGCTCACAAGTAGGCCCATGGGTGAGATTTATGAATGGGTGGAAGTCAAGGAGTGTGGGTAGGCAGGACCAGTGGGGAATTCAGCTGGTTCACACTGGTTCAGGTGAACTGCTTATTAAATTACCCCCCTCTGCTATCAAAGTAGATTTTGGGTGCTGCACTGCGATGGAGAAACAGACAATGGAGTGGCCATTTCTCCTCCTTCTCCTCCCTGCTCCTCCTCCTCCCCTCGTGCTGGCTGCTCCGTTGCTCATTTGTCCATTGTAGTGCAGCACCCAGGATCCACTTTGATGAGGGGGGATAATTTAACAACAGGTTCCTCCAGGGTCAGGTTGGGCCACGATAGCCCATGGCTATTCCCTGATAGCCAACTTAATCCTGAGCGAACTAGTTGTTAAATTATTTGAATCCCACCACTGGGCAGGACCAAGTAAAGGCAGATAGATGCTATAGGCAGGTACAAGTGGGAGCTATGGGTGCAAACAGGTTCAGGAAAGTGTGTAAATGGGTATATAAGTGCGTGTGGGCACCACAGAGTGCAGGCAGGTAAAAGTGCAGGTGGGTGCAATGGAGCATAAGATCCTCAGGAAAAAAAAAGCAACAGGAGTAACTTGAAGTTCTTCCAGTTCTTCCATTGACTTTACTTAGGGGAAGCCAATGAGGAAAATTGCAAAAGGTAATCACATGACCTCAAGATGCTGTGAGGTAATTGTAAGCCCTCTGTTACAATTTGAATGGTCACTGAATGAATGGATGTAAGTTGAGAACTACCTGTATACATTTCAACAGTAAATAGAAACACGAAACTATTAGAGCAGGGCTGTCAAACTTGAGGCTGGCGGGCTGGATGCACCATGCGCTGGCCATGCCCACGCCTGGTTTAGTGAAGGGGAAAAAGTCACAATATGTCATGTGATGTCATTGTGATGATGTGAGTTTGACACCCTTGTATTACATTAAAAAAAAGTAACAAATATTTGTATTTACTATCTGATCTCTGAATATTAGTTGTGTTTAAAAGAAAACACTCCACTAGACTTGTACATTGATAGAATCAGGAGTCTCACCATTGGAAACATAAACCCAAACCACAATGGAGTCAATTTAGATCATTACTGAGTTTCTAAGTTACCTTTCTCGAATAAACTCTGCCATTTCTTTCTGCATTTGCTTCCCTTTCAGTTGTTTCTGCAAAAGAATTTCAAATCCTGAGACTGTACTGTTCCCTTGGGGGTCCTTCTTATCAGTCTAAAGAAAATGAACAGCAAAAGTATGGGCCAGGTGAGATGTGTTAGAAAATGCAATCACATTCTTATACTGTAACAGATATTTGCAAATATGCTGGGTGATATCCAGCTGTCATAATACTCTCTCGTCCGTCCTAATAGCAGAGTTATAATTGGTGCTAACAAATCTGCCAGGATTTCTTTTTTTCTTTTTAAAGGTAAATCATGGGCACCTGAGCTTGTTTTTGCATATAGGAAACAAGCAATTCAATAGCAAGGGACTTTACAGCCACAAGAACTGACAATGGCTATTATAAAAGGATCTCATAATGGACTGCTCGGGTTTGTACAGGTTGAAAAAGGAACTGCCTCCCCTAAAGAGTCCAGGGCTCTGGTTAACTGGGAAATTGAAAGAACATTCTGGAAAAAGGCAGTGGCAATCCAATTAAAATTAACAAGAAGTCTTCCTAAATGCAGTCTCCAATTCAAGGCATTCTTTACTTTCTTCTCTGAGTTTGCAACTTCCAGGAAATTCTACCTTTTTTTCATTACAAACATCTTTACCCTCACTTTTCAAAAGTTCAAGAATGCTTACAATTAAAAATTAAACACACTTGAAACATTTAGCAAACTGGGGAACTTGCCTCAGGTGGGCAAGTTCAAATCCCAGTGAAGAGTTGAATGTACGGAGATCTAACCTATATATGGGGTTATCTATGCCTGATGAATCGCAACAAGAACAGAACTGGGTGTATAGTCCCCCTAGTGGTCAGTAGTGAGTATAAACCACCAGTTTGAATCCAAACAGGGATGGGGGTACGGTGAGGCTTCTAATAGGAGGCTCAGACAATTGGCATTCATAGGTCATTAATCTAGAGTACAAAACAAATGAGGAGGCAGACCATTCATAGTACATTTGGTAAATTTCACTTTCTCTGTCTCTGCGTCATCTAAAAATCAACCAAGAGTTCTTGATGCTCTAAGGTAACATGAAATTGGTTACTTGGTTGAGAAAGCTATCAACCTAGACTTAACATTTTATTCATCCATTTAGGTATGATCATGCACATTCACACACACTCCTTTCTTACTATAAGCAACAAATCGGTTTTGGAAACCATCTCCGGTGAATAAGACATGATGAGATGGATGCAAATGAGTTGGATGATACATAAAACACTACTTCTCAGATTTATATGGAATGTTAGGTTCAGATATGGCTGGACACACGTTTATGGCTCTAGGCTATAGTGATTACAGACTGGAGATCATTACCCACTTATATGTAGCCACTGTCTCTTAAACACACACATGCACACTCACACATGCACTCTTTCTCTTATCTTGAGCATATGGTTAACGAACAGAACAGAAAAGCAAAAAGACTTTTGTAGGATCCTATCTGGGTCAGTCCCTGGGATCTGAGATTTTGTCTTCCGAGCTTTTGGACTCATGCTGGAGCCCATTTTCAGGGTACTTCTCTGAGGAGAGACTCCAGCATGAGTCCAAAAGCTCACAAGACAAAATCTCTGGTCTCGGTGACCGACCCAGATTGGATCCTGCAATATTATCCTGGGACACATATATTTGCCTTCATTCGTGAGAAAAAGACTGTCCTGATGTAATGCAACTTTCAGATTACTGGTTTTACACTATGGGAAGTTGAGGAAGGATAATTTATGCTGTGCGAGCTTGAAGATGCTACTCAACATTACTAGATAACAAGTGTTCAATCTGTGAGTTTTGAAGGGAAGGCTCTTTTCTCCTTCCTCTTTTCTTTCCTTCCTCCTCAAAAGAATGGTTTTTCCCTAACCATTAACATAAAATAGGAATCTGCTGCCTGATAGCTACAGCTATGAATTGCCCATCTCTTGTTTAGAGCATTGCAGGCTGGAAGGCGAGGAAGTGATTCTACTTAATTCCAGTCATCTGGTTTTAACAGTATAATGATTCTGCTGGATATCATACATAAAGAAAGAGAATAACTTTTGCAGTGTCATAGGCATCAATTTTTAGGCTTCAATTTTACCGTGTTTGCTATCAGAGATGTTATCAATATGTCTCTTCCTGTGCAAAGCTCAACTACTGCAGTAAACAGCATATGGGAAGCTGCTCACTTACCCAGAAATAATCACAGTAGCTCCATTCAGAAGGTTTTAGCAACTGCTGTTCTGGCATTGTGTCAGGATGGGGAAAAGTCACACAGTTTATCTAATAAAGAAGAAAGTAATATAAATATGCTGGAAATGCAAAGCAATTCAGAAACAGAGAGATGCTACATATGTAGAAGCTGGATGCTTAAACAGGACATAGATATAGGCAGTTAATTGGAGTGATTCTCTGTCCAGCCAGAAGATGTCATCAAAAGCAGGTAGAAAGGGCTTCCTCAGTCTGAAAGCTTTTGCAATGTCTAGAAAAAAAAGACCCCGAGCAAGATAGAACCACAATTTGAATTACATTTTTTTTCCTTCAGAAAAAACTAGAAACCCTTCAAGACAAAGCTATTACTTACTTACAAAAAATCATATGTCCAGAACTATTCGGGTAAATTTAACTTTAACCTTAGACTGTCTACTGTTGACCTCACCCCATTCCTAAGAGGTCTTGCCTACTGTCCCTGTCCTAATGTTCCTTTTTATTTGTATCCATTTTATGTATTAATAATCAAGTTTATATTTATACCTGTTATCTAATACATGCTCGACAAAATAAATAAATAAAATAAATTCCAAAAACAGTTAAACCCAAAAAGATGACATAAGACATGAAAGTTGCTTATCAGAATATATTAATCTCAAACACTTGGTTATTAAGGTATATTTATTCAATTATCTATATACTTAGAACTCAACAGGGCACTAAATTCTCTCTGAAAGTTGCTAGGGTGTTAGTATTCTCTTTACCCCATGGTAGATAAAAAATCCATATATAATCTCTTTAGCTGTTTGAAAAATGTAATTTTTCTTTTAGGTGATTGTTGATGGTGTTGTCACATGAGTTATGCATAAATCACTATAGGCAAGTGACTTCCAATAATTTAATATATATAAATTATTGAAAGTCATTGTTTTAGAGATACAAGCTTTGATGAAATACAAAGTACATCAGAATGTTCTTTATATGCCATTTGAACCACAGAATTACAGACCACTTATGGAGTGGGTCTTGTAGATTATCTAGTCCAATCTCCTCTTCAATAGAGGAATCCCATAGGACAGACTTTCTTGCAGATGGCCATCATACCTCCAGCAGATGAGAATCCCATAACTTGCCAAGACAATCTTGTTTGACTGTTAAACAGCTTTTGCTATTAGGATGTTTAACTAAGTACAAATCCTTTGTATTTAAACCCATTGCTTCCTATTCTGTCCTTGGAATTACCTGCACAAACCTAGCCCATTTTCTGCATGACATTTTTTTTCAGATACTTCAACATAGCTGACAAGTCTCTTTGTTGTCTTCTCTTTCCAGAAAAGAAGAATGCAGGCCTTCTCCATATAATGGAGAATATACCAATATTATCCAGTGTTATCAGTAATAATTGTGCAATGTTGACATTGCACCAACCACATATGATTCTATGCATTTTGTCTGGTAGGATGGACATGGAATATGGATGAACATTTTTCCAAAACAAGAAATAAAACATGTACATATTATTATTGTGGAGCAACAGGCATGGTTATTGGAGCTGTCTAGTGTTTTAAGACCTGAAACGTGTGAATGTGAGGACATTCAAGTAGCACCTATTCTTAATTCCCTACAGCTGCATCTTTTCTCAAGATCATGCAACTGCAGCACAATCTCAAGAAAAGATGAGCTTGGTTACAAATAAGTCACAGATAGATGCTTCCTATATATCTCAAAATACCCTGGAGTCCCTTTTTGCCTTGAAAATCAAAGCATCTAAGGACTCAAGCAATAAACCCAATATGGTTGTACTACTTTTATAAGATGGAAAATCTTCCTTCAAGCAGAATAGGTTTTTTAATCAAGCATTGGAGGAAGATGGAGAAATACACTGTTTTAAGAAAAAGGCATTTCTGTAACAAATTGCCAAAGGCATGGGCTATTGTTCTATTTTTGTAGGGTTATATGAGTGCTCATGCCCATAAACAATTTTTTTAAAAATATTCCTGGAATGTATCTTTATATGGTGGCTATATGTGCTATGTGGACAGCATCTAAGAAGCATCTCTGTCCTTCGTATTCAACATAGGTGTTCCTGCTTGTAGTGGCACTGCCTATATGTTTCTGGGGTTTTAAAAATGTTTTCCAGGTCAGAAATGCTACAAAACTCTGAGAATGGTAGATTTACCAGAATTTGATAGGCAGAAATAAACACAAAATGGTAAAATTGTCCATTTTAAGACTACTCTTACAGCCCTGAACCTATGAAAAATCATTGCCTGTTTTTTTACCTGAAAAATAACATCACAGGAAAAAAAAATAGCATGGTAGCTGTTTATTTTCCTTAAAAATGCTTATTATGTTGTTTTAGGGAAGGAAAAGAAGAATATATGAAGATCCCTGAAATGAAGACCAAAATCATAATGAATGCTTCATTCAAGTTTCAGAACAGCGTCACTGGGGACAGTAGAAAAACTATCTAAGAATAGTATCCAAGGCATGTTCTGAAAGACAACATCTTGTCCAACATCTCTTGCTCACAGTTCCTCTTATGAGGATTCCAAGAAATATCAAATGACTTCATTTACAGCCACAACTTCTCTATGAACACTTGTTGGCATCTGAAGGACGTGGCTGTCCAATGGAACATCGTTTGGCCATAATGTGGCTTGGGGGCCATTTCCAGATGATTTAAATACCAACTAAATCCTTTTAACAGAGTGTCAGTGTTGAATGTGACTCAGTGCCAAAGGCACAATTTCCTGTGAACTTCATGGAGAAGCAAATACTGAAAGTCACAGCTGCATACCTACTTGGAATATGTATGTTGTGCAGGTGCACAACATACATTTTGCAGGAAAATGAGAAGGGAATAAGAATGATCTTTATATTCACACATCAAAGGATCTTTGCTGATGCTGCGTTGAAATGTTTGCCTCAAGTTAACACTATTCTGCGTGAAAGAAATTTTGGGCAAGAGTCAAGATATTTCAAGTGTTACAGATTCCTGTTAGTATATGAGTAGGAGGCTATGTAGTTCCACCTCCAATACTACATCAATAATTTGGTTCTTCTTTCCCATTTTCATACACTGTGCACCAGCAGGTACAAGGGTAAGGCCTTCCTATCATGAGTGTTGCATTTAACCTCTTAAGTTTCAAGAGTTGGTTGCACAAAAAGGCATCTGGTTTGGGACAAAGGATCTATGTCACTGTTGAACAATGAGGATATGTTTATAGATAACTGATTTATCCACTCCATATCTGCAGTACTTTAATTGGAGGAACAATTTTTAATGAAATTATAGTAATGGAAGCATAGGGAACTAATTGTTGACAACAGAAACAGTCACTGGGAAAAATCTCAGTGAATTGGTAAGTACTCTGTATTTACCACAGAAACAAAATAGCTGTTTTCGTACCATATTTTAGTATTATGGGAATGAATCTAGGGATAGTACCTCCTCCTGTAGGATGTCAAACATTTGTGCAACCTATGATTTTCTTCAACATCTGCAAACCAAACAATCGTTTGTGCGTCCCTGGAGACCACTGCAATTATTTGGCTGTTCTGATACTAATGCCAACTTATATCTTGTTGATATGACCAAAGTCAGACGTTCTGAATTGTGATATACAGAGAAGATGACAAGATGGGGACGAACAAGTAAGCCAAGCAATAATTGCTGCTAGTATCTCTACTTCCAAAACATGATTTCTTATTATTTATAAGTGGAATTATCTGAGACTTTTTCAAAGTCCCCTGATCATCTGATACATTTTAAGATTTAACAGATTAAAACAGAGTCGAAAGGGATCTTGTAGGTCATGTAGTCCAACCCCGCCCTGCCCAAGCAGGAAATCCTACACCATTTCTGATAGATGGCAGACTAGTCTCTTCTTGAAAGCCTCCAGTGATAAGCTTCCATTTCTGAATTTTTTATTCTGAAGCAAGAAAAATCAACAGATAGTTTGTGGATTCTGGTTTCTGGAAGTCAGAGGTGAACATCTAAGACATCCAGAAGAAAAGAGTTGAACAAGACCTTGGAGGTCTTCTAATCTAACTCTCCCCCTCTGCTCAAAATGCCATTTCAGACATTTCCTTTAGAAATGATGATGTTTCTCAATGTTGAGTTTGGAACTTAAGAAAGGAATGTAGAAGAAAATCTGCAGTATTGGAGGTGCAAAATCAATCCACTTCAGGAATAAGGATAAAGAATATAATAATAATAATAAAGTGCAATTTTTCTTTTATTTCATTTGCAACTTACTGTGATTATTCTGACTTTGTCAGAAAATGACATTGCTTCAGGCAAATTCAATAACAATGACTTTAGAAGAACTGTTAAGTAAAGTTAGCTGAGTTGACTTTACTAAACACTTATTCTGGTTTAACAATTCCTGAAGTAGTCTAAAGCACAAATATACAATAGAGTAAAGGCAACCAAATAAGAATGAATATCCTTTGTCAAAATTTGGGGTTGTTGTTTTAGTAACCTGCTAGTTGGAAATAAATGTAAGGTATTTATTTTGGTTGCTAACAGTTTCATTGAGAAGCGGAGCAATCTGCAATTCATTCAGTAAAACTGATCCTCTTGCAGCCCTTCATCAAAACAAATTCAAAATCTCCGTTCCACAATAGAGATGCATTCCAAAATCCAAATGAGCCCGTATTTTCACAGCCCAGTGTAAATCCTAAAAGGTGTAAGTTGATAAAACACTAAAATTACATTTCAAACTTGTAAAAACTGAATGGATATCAAAAGAGAACATCAACACCTATATAAATAATCATTCCACCATATACTAGTTCCCTGGTGTTCTCTTTCTTACTCGATCATTGAGGGATGTCATGTTGCTTGCACAGATTTCTTTCTATTATTGTTTGCAGCAAAAAGGCAGACCTCACATTTCAACAGAGGAACATTTATAGCTTTTTAATCACTGCATTCCAATTTGTACATATGATCCATGTTTATGAGCGACAATGGTGTGAAGAATAAGTTTATATTGATTTAAAAAACAGAATTCAAAATATAACATCTCAGCCACCCACACTGAAAAACAACTTTAAAGTGTGTATATTTGATGGATGGATGTATACTAGAGAAAAATAACTATGTGTTTACACACACACACACACACAATTATTTTTCTCTAGTCATTGAAATCTGAAAGGTAAGTCATCATAGAAAACAGGTTTCATGAAACCTTGGTGTCAACTTTTTGCATTGTGTATGCTGTTCACAGGAACGCTCTATTCTTTAGATGACTTCACTAGTGATAAATTGTTTGAACGAAATGAATAAAAACTGCTCCAACTGTAATTTAAACATCCCAGCACACAGAAGTGTCTCCCACCCTCTCTTTTGCTTTCTGATGTTTCTTTCCTATCTCTGTGTAACAGGCTTTTTGCTAGCTTCAGCCTTTTAAATATGGCTTCATTGCAGCTACTGCTGAGGAGAGAAAGAACCATGTTTACATCTGGAAAACATGAGGCAGACCCCAGCACACAAAATCCTGTCTTCACCCCCCTCCGGCCCAGCCTGCAGTGATACTTGCTGACTGGATCACCATAGCAACTGGATTGGTGATTATCACTCCAGGATTCTACTTACCGTAAAGGTGTTCTCCTTATTCTGCTTTCGAGTCGGTGATGGAGACCCAGGACTCTGAGGAGAGAGGCAAGAAGCATCATCAAAACTGCATTCCACATCCGACATGGTATGTTTCTGAAGAAATTGTGTGTATATAAGGATTATGTGTATGGAGGTGATGTTTAAAGCTAAATGCAAGCCAACTGTGAGCAGAGTCCCTTCTGCTTGATTCCTGGGTTAGCCTTTTCCCATGTCTGGAAGTGTCACAGCTTGGCAGCTGGGCTTTTGCATGGCAGAGTTCTGTACTGTGATCCTGAAGCAGCACATAAGCTCTATACAGCCAGATAATTCATTCGAAAGAGGGTGACCCCTCCCCTTCCAATCAGTGCTTTGCTTTGGAGTTAACCCTTCAACTGCACGCCAACGCTGGATTTGGACTCTCCCAGTATTAAAGAGTTGTCAGAAACTCCCCATGTATACATCACAGTTGGTGTATATAAACAATGTTTTGATTGTAGGTTCAGACACCTTTCATTGCCCCCCTTTCTGATGGCTTTGAAAACTCAGTCAAAAGAGGTAAAGATATGTTTCCTAGCTAGAGATAGGGAAGCAATTCATTTAACCCAAGCTTATTTAATTTGCATTTTTTAGAATTAAAATCTGCACTGTTTCTTTTCTTTTTTAATTTTTTTAAAAATATTTTATTGAACAAAACAATTAAAAACATTGAACATAGTGAAGTTGGTTTGACATAACTTTTGGTCAGTATCGCATAGATATATATTTTCCTATATACAATTATTTAAGTATATACATATATACATTTGTTCACTCATATATTACATTACACATCATTGGTCCTATTTTCATTTCATACATTCATTTACCCTCTCAGCAACTCCTTTCCCAACTTAAGATCTTCTTTCTACTCTCACCAGTGATAGAATCTATCCCTAATTGCGTAGTATGCCGACTCGTCTTTATTTTTCATCTCTAAAGTTAGCTTGTCCATTTCAGTGCATATCAAGATTTTGTTTATTACTTCGTCTTCACTCGGTATGTCTGTCTCTTTCCAGTTCTGGGCAAATGCTATCCTTGCCGCAGTAGTAACGTGTATAATCAAATATAGCTCATCCTTATTGCATTTTTTGACATAATTCCTAATAGAAAGCATTCTGGTACATGATTAAATCTGCACTGTTTCAATGTCAGGATATAGGTTTCCAAAAGAGTGCATGGGATGGTCTTTACATTAATGGAATGATTCACACAGAAATGCATTGATACATTGATACAAACAAATCAAATCAAACACATTTAAAAAAAAACTCCGGCTGCCTTGAAACTAAATAAACACAGCTAGCCAGCATTAGGGAAAAAAAATATGGTCTTCTAAAATGCAAACCATTATAAAAACAAGTGAAAGTGAACAACTCCAAGAACATTAAACCATGAGCAAAAGTAATTGCTTCATCCAGCTATAGCTGTCTGCATGTGAAGCTAAAACCACAATGCAGCTGTCCTTCAGGCTTCCTTTACCTATATTTGCAAAAGACCAAAAGCTTTACAAAGCATCCCTTGCATAAAACTGACAGACACAAAATGAACTAAACAAAAAGCACCAGGTGCAACATTCTATCAAGAAGACAACAGCTATATGTTTTAAGCTGACATTTGCTCTGTTATTCCATCTTGAAATCCATGCAACAGCTAACAACAGCATGATGGACATGTCCTCTGTATCCTTAATTGCATCCATTATTCTTGAAAGGTTCATTTCTTGTCTATATCTCTTACAAAATAAAGAAATAAACGTGCATTGTATTACCCAGCACTACACAGAGCAACAAGAAAAGTACTTTGAAAACAGAGCCTACCCATCTTGTTTGGAATTGCATACGATAAAATGATAGACAATAGTCACAAAAATCTAGGAAACAGATTTAATATAAAGAATAACCAATTCTTTAGGAGGGCCATATTCCTCAGATTACAGCATCTCACCAGTCCATCCTTTTCTGCACCATAGTAAAATCTGGAATAGAGAAGCATGTTCTTCCTCCTCTCTGATTTCTGGGAAAATTTCTTTCAAAGTACCGTATCCTTATGTAAGTGAATCAGCTTCTCTTATTTCATTTTAAAACAAAATACATCTTTTATCAGTCTTTAATCCAAGAGAGCCAAGAATTTGAGAGCCAATAAACACTTTAATCTCTCACACATTCATATCTTAAAATGTCTCAAAGGATTTTTTTTTTAAATAACACTGTTGGCATTAGTTGTTCACATGTACAGAAAAGGAATCACCATGCAGCAGGCCAGCATTAGTTCTACAACATAATTAGGGCTGATTGTTAATTTTACTGGAAAGAACCATAGAATGAAGAATTCTAAATCTTCTGTTTTCTTTATAAAAATAAAGAAGACTGTGACTTCTAGACCTGTCATAGCACGAAAAACTGGCTGGATCATTTTGGGCCAGTCATTTCTCTCAGCCCAATCCACTTCACAAAGTTGTTGTTGGGGGGAAAATAGGATACATACACAACCTTAAGTTGTGTATGAAAAATAAAAAGTAACAAAAATATTTGCTTTAAAGCTCCCAGCTTTGCCTATATGGAATGTAGTTTCATGCTCAATAAACTGCTAGCAGCTTCAATAGTAAACCTAAATTATCTGAGCTTTCAAACCAGCAAATTGCTTTGGTTAATATTAAAACTTCTTTGAACCAACTGTTTGTATCACATTAGCTAAGGATATTCCATTTTCCCCATTCTTTCTAGTTGGCTGACTGGGTTGAGTCTTGCATTTCAAAGCCAATATAAGAAGAATCACTTGAGCGTTGCATGAAACTGCTCTAATGACTGTTTATTCATTTTAAATCACCTACAGCTAATGTGAATATGAAATCTATGCACTGTATATAGCCATGATGGTGAACCTATGGCACATGTGCCACAGGTGGCATGCAGAGCCATTTGTGCCGGCACACGAGCTGCAGGCAAACTTACCTCACTGGACATGTGTGTGCCTCACAGCTGATTTTCAGCCTGTTTAAGGCCTTTTTCAGCTTCCCAAAGGCTTGAGGAAGGCTTCTGCAGGCTTTGCAGGCTGAAAACTAGTCCCGGTTCATCACTTCCTGTTTTTCTGAAAATACCAGAAGTGATGAAACGGAGCTAATTTTTGGCCTGCAAAGCCTGCAGAAGCCAGCCTCAAGCCTTTGGAAGGCGGAAAAAGGCCTCAAACCAGCTGAAAATCAGCTGTGAGGCACAGTGCAGGTAAGGGGGCGGCAGGGTGGGTGGGTGGGAATGCACGCATGTGTAGGGGATGTTGGGGTGCGCGCATTGCCTTCTGGGTGCTGGCATGCAAGTACGAGCGTGCAAGCACACACACTATTTTTGGCACAGGAGCCCAAAAAGGTAAGCCGCCACTGGTATATAGAATAATAAATAATGAATAATCTATATAGAACAATGTGTTCAGAAATAATCTAATTTTGTGCCATTCAGATGTAAATCCAAAACAAAGACCATTAAACCTCAGTAAATCCAAAACAAAGACCATTAATTTAAATTCTTACACCAGGACCAGATGAACTCAAAGTGATCGCTATCCTGGGTGCTACAAAAGAACAACAACAATGAAGACCAAGAAAGACATACATAAAAATTATCTACAAATCAAGGTTCAGTCATCTCCCAAAGTGTTAAAGGTGGTGAGATATGCCAGAGACATAAAGGAAGATATAGAATATAGTGACTATCCAATCTACCTTTTCAGCTAGAGAGAATGAGTAAAAAATGGATCCAGAATTTGTGAACCTATTCCAATCATGCATTTATTTTAGAAATGCATTATTTAGGTGATTGTTAGATTCAAAGTTTTGGAGAATGCACTCAAATTCAGACCTTGTTTTCTCCTCCTGTATGCTAACTTTGTGATTTTTTACATACATCAAATGAAAGGCCTATTTAATTCAGCATTCTGTTTCCGTAGTGGAAATATCAAATATCTACAGGAAGTACACAAGTAAGGTGTGAAAAATCTTCACACTTGCATTACACTCTCAGTGTTAACACTATAGGTTTACTAGCCAACATGACTGATAGAAATTGAAAACTTTTATCTTTTTTTATTTGTACCTTTGGAAGATATTCAAGTTGGAAGTCTAATCCTAACATGTAGCAATGAATTCTATATTCCATATGCTTATATGAAGTACATCCTCAGTTCGGACCAGTTCAGGCAAACCAGTTGTTAAGATTCTGCACAGTTTGGCAAACTGGCAAATCCCACCACTGGCTGGCCCCCCCCCGCCCCCCCTGCCCAGTTACTCCTCATCTTGCCCGATCACCTGGCATTGCAGCTGCTACTGCTCTCTGTCTGGCTCCCTCGCTTGCCTCGACCATGTGGTCTCTGCGGCCAGCTAGGTTGCCTGCCTTCACCCCCGTGGCAGCGTCCCACGCAGCACTCTCCCTGCAGCCCAGCTGAGCGGCCCCTGATCTACCTGGGTGAGCCTGCGAACAAGCCCTGAGTCCCATCTTAGGTGCCTCCCATGTGGCCCAGCCAGCTTTCCTGCTTGCTGCTGAAGCCTACCATATCCAGCCGCAGCCCAGCTCACTGCCTTTGCCTTCCTTCACTGATCTCAGATCCTCTTTGCTCGCCTAGACTAGACTCACCCAGCTGCCTTGGTGGGGAAACGGGGCTGGGAAGAGTGCTCAGCTCTCCCTGTTCCTCCTACCACTTCTCTCAGCCTCAATCCATTTCTCTCCGCCTCAATCCATTTCTCTCCACCTCAATCCATTCCTCTCTCTCAGCTTCCTACTGCTTCTTGAGGCCCAAGAAGCCTTGAAAACAGCCCTCCACGAGGGAGCAAAGCTTTGGATGAGCTGATCTGTCCTGAAAGCCTCGAGGAGCTGCAGACTTTCCACACCGGCCCAAGTGCCCTGCCCTTCAGATCCCAATGGGGCAAGTGCCCGCCAGTGATGGCGCTCCGGGAGAGTGTGCAGTGCCCGGGGCTGCATGTATGCATTGCAACAGAGCAGCAGTCTTGGCCCCAGCGTGGCATCTCCCCCGTCAGCCTTACCTTCATAGGCAGCTGCATGCTGGCCCCGTTGGAATCTGAGGGGCATGGTATTCAGGCCGGCGAAAGCATGTGGAAGCTCTAGAAGGTAAGGCTGATGCTGGCAGCAAGGGATGGAGACCCATTGCCCTCGGTCGAAGAGCAGCCTCACGGGGACACAGCGAGGCTCGATTGCCTTTTGGGCTGGTGCACTCAGCTTCCGTGGGGCCTCCAAGTGAATACTGCCACTTGCCTTCCCCTCTGCCTCAGGTCCCACATTCATCCTGTGACAGGAGACGTGCCACTTCCAGGCTGGCCCAACCAGTGGGTGGGTGGGTGGCCCTTGAGGGTAATTCTGCGTTGGGGCCGAGACTGCTTCTGCGGTGCACATGTGCAGTCCTGGGACATCCGCCTGTCCTCCTGGACCACCGTTGCAGCTCTTGAGCTCGCTTTGCTACCAAGCTCGCCTTCGGGACAGATCAGTTCATCTAAGCTATGATTTGCTCCCTGGGAAGGGCTCTGTCATGAAGGGCTGTGTGCCCAGACCAGGCACTTTCTCTCGGGCTTCCTGCCTCACATGGGGTGGTGGGAGGAGGAAGTGTGTGGCTGGGAAGGCTGCCCACAGTTTTTGCAGCAAAATGATGTCTGCAAACCCACAAGAATGTATGAGGTCTTCTGCCTGGAGCAGAAGGCTGAAATATAAGACTTCCAAGGTACCTTCTTCTAGCCTATGATTCAAAAATCTCCAAGGCAAGGGAATTTGCTTAAATTGATAATGTGTGTGTGTTTGTGTGTCTGTGGAGGGGGGGATGGATAGATAGAAAGATGTGGCTTCTTGGGAGTGTATTTTGGAGAAGTATCAAGAGAAATGCCAAAAAGGCAATCAGTTTGAGATTAAATTCCAGATGAAATTGGGTCTTCAGGGTAAGGAGACATGAAGAACTTTCAACTGCAGGTTTCTAAAAATCTTACTAAAATGAATGTCTAGAGGCAGATCTTTAAGTCGTTAGTCCAGAGGGAGCAAAAGAGATAGGGTCCCAATGAGGGTCATAGCTGTTTAGTTCAGGAATAACAGAATAACATAGTTGAAAGGGACTTTGGAGGTCTTCTAGTCCAACCCCCTGCTCAGGCAGGAGAACTCTGAGAATGCCAAAATCTGAGTAGAGAGCCTGAGAAAGGTGTCAATATAACAGAATAACACTTAGAAGGGACCTGGGGGGGGGGCACCCTATATCATTTCAGAGAAATGGCTGTCCAGTCTTTTCTTAAAAACCTCCAGAGTTGGAGCATTCAGAACTTCTGGAGGCAAGCAGTTCCACTGGTTAATTGTTCTCACTGTCAGGAAGTTTCTCCTTAGTTTCAGGTTGCTTCTATCTTTGTTCAGTTTCAATCCATTTATTCTTGTTTTGCCTTCTGCTTCTTTGGAAAATACTTTGCTCCCCACCCTTCTTTGTGGCAGCCTCTCAAAAGCCTGTTGCCTATCACACTCTTGGGCAAAATATTTGAGCCATTTCCTCCTTTCAATGGTCCATGAAAGTACATCTATAGTATGTAGATGCAGATAATATAGTCAAAAAAAGATGAACAACATTTTTACAGAACTATAGATATACTGAGGCCGGGTGTGACAAGGAGTGGCTGGGAGGGGAAGAACGAGGTGAGGCACCCCTTGATGTGAGTGACATTGAATTGGCCATGCTCATCCAGTCACATGGCCACCCAGCCATGCCCATCCAGCCACACCCACCCGGTCAGTCATTAGGGCAGAGAACCGGTTGCTAAAAAATTTGACTCCCACCACTGCCTACAAGTTCTTTCCATTAACATTTGGGAAGGAGCTGTATCATATCGGTGGCCAAATAATTAAATAATAAAAGGATCTGATAGGCTTTAGGAGGAAGTTCATAATTACATTTCTAATATGCTATTGTAATCTGTGATGTATTATTTCCTCCATTATCACAGTGTGGGTATTGTAAATGAGAAAGTGAAATTGACACGTAAACTGCGAAAATTACTTTGCAACATCATGGTTGGAAATGACCAAATGTATTTTAATCCACACAGGTGCAGAATGAGGATTTAAATTTTGGATTCAGTGCTGCATTCTAGAACACTGGGTCTTTATAATTCAGCTATATTTAGTCATTATGTCTCACCTTTTAAGATGTGCAGAACATTCAAAGCAATTTCCTCATCACTCTGGAAATATTGAAGAGAGTGACAGAAGATTCCTAGGACTTGTACTTTATATTTTTATTAAATATATGTGAGATGGAATGCAACTGATTAAATTTGCACATGATACAGTATTATGGGAAGGGACATAGTATCATAGAAGACAAAAATAAAAGCTTGTTGTAGTAGACAAATGTGCTGAATTTTTTTTAAAAAATGAAATTTAACAGAAACTTATGCAAACTTATATACTTAGGAAGCATAAATTAAACAAATAGATATAGTTTGGTTTATGTATGGCTTTGTAATAGTTCTTAAAATATTTTGAAATACTTGTTGATTACAAGTTGAGTATGAATCAGTAGTCTGATGTGGTTGCAATAAAAGTTACTATAATTTTAGGTTTCATGGGAACTACAATTTTTACTTTATTCTGAATCAGTAGGCTCACAGCTCAGGCAATATGTTTAAAGTACTACACTTTAGGAATTCAGATTACCGTAAGTAGTGCAGGGTCAGAATAGGGCAACCAGTGATATCTGGGGACTAGAAACATTAACTTCCATTGAAAAATTGGGTATATTTAACCTTGAGTAGATTTGAGACAAAGAGAAATATAAAAGCATTCTCCAAATTCCTGAAGGATGACACATAAGAGAAGGTTAAGACCTGTGTTCTATTGAGTGAAGGACACAGTGTAATGGACTTAAATTTGAATTCAAATATAAAATATTAGAAAAAAATGGCTACTTGTTAAGAGCAAATTTTATGACAGTGGAAACTATTATTATCCAGAATAATGGTGTCCTTTCTTTTGCTGGATGGGTTCTAGGCAGCTATCTGCCCAGGATGCTTTAATTTGGATTCCTGCAATTAGCCGAATGGGGGCTAAATTCAGTGGCCTAAATGTCCCTTCCCATTCTGTGATTTTATAAACTCAATTGGAGTTGTTAATGAATAATACAAACAGGGCAGGAAACTACAGGGAGCACTGGGTTGCAATTTAGAGATGCCATTTGCAAAGATCATTTCAGGATGATATTTAGAATGTAGGAAAGTGGAAATATCTCAAAAGTCTCCTGGTACAGTTACATGCTGGACTGATGTCAAGGACTGTCATTATCACCACACTTATACATAGAATTCTGAAGCATGTATGACCTAAGGATCTAAACCATGCAAGAAAACTTCAATCCATCTTTCAACATGTTCTAAAATAGCAATAAAGGAGGCTCATGGAGGATTTCCAATATCCCCACTTCCCAAGTTCACACATCATAAAAAAATGTGAGAAACATAGATTTGATTGAAGATAGCAATAAAAAAAGAAAAGAAAAACCCACTATATGGTAAGGACCAAAGAGCAAAGTGTAAGCAAGCACTTAGTGTAATTGCAATTAAAACTTAGATAGAAAGAAAGCACATTACAAACTTGCCTGAAGAACTTCATGCTACCAAATGATCACAGATGGCCAAAACTGAATAAGATCAATAGGAGCTTTGACATATAAAAACAGCAGAGACAGAGAGGCATAGAAAGAGACACATACACAGAGGGAGGGAGGTGCTTCAGAACTATAATGACTTTGAGATTCACAGTACAAACTTGGACTTTGCCATGGAGTAATGGTGATTCACATTTTTTTTAAATTAAAAAAAAACTTTCAAGCTTCCTTGTACTGGAAGTTACCACTAAACCTGTTTCTAAATAAAGCTAAATTTATTAAGGGAGGAACCCTGAAGCACAATGTGTGAATTTACCTGAGGGTCACTGCTGATTTTGCGGAGACTCATGTGGCTTGGCTCTAGCTGTGATGCCAACGTGCCTGGTATGTGATATCCGTTCACTGTAAGAAAAAGACATGAAGTTCAGACCAAGGAGGCAGGAAAGGAGTGGGTGGCTTTTAAGTCACACTGTTAAATTCAAGTATTTTACTTGACCTTCCTAAATGGTGATTCTTATTTAACACTTTCCAGCACCAATTCAGTAAATGAAATACAGTATTTCATAGTTACTGTCCACTTCTTTGTTAAATGAAGAAATATTTATTTTGTTTTGTTTATTTAACCTACTCTATTCATGCTGGATGGGGGCTTCCAAATGTTTTTTAAACATAAAACAGATCACAATTATTATTAAAATAGGCAATAAATAATCCAGCAATTAAAAACCAAGTAAAAAGAAATGTTTTCTAGATTTTCTAAATGTTAAAAGAATGGGGGCTAACCCCTAACCCAAAGGACAAGTTTGCATAGCTGAGGAGAAATGAAGGTTCTGGGGAAAAGGATCTCTTCAAAAGATTTTTCCTGTATAATCTGGGAATTTGGGGATTTTCAAACTCTATTCATGGAAGAGTTCTATAAGAACTTGAATGGCTTCTCTAGAACTGGAGGTAAAAAAACCTTTCTGTACAGAACTACAGAACAAAAAACTCTTGGCAAGGGAATAAGGCTTATTCTCTTGAACAGACAGGGGTATTTTCCCCTAAATCTTTTGAGGAAAGGAGATTTCCCCCCACCCACCCCTTGTCAGTCACTTAGAAAAATTACTACAAATTCCGCTGAAGTACCGCATCGAGATGAGATCAAATGGCTTAAAATTCTCTGCAAGGGACTATGGGGGTGGGTGGGGGGAATTGAACATATTCAGCCATCCTATCTCACCATGATGCTGCTCTTTGGGATTTTTTTTTAAAGTACAGTGGAATGGGTGGGACTTGTTAGCTGACACTGAAAAGCCCCCACCCTTTCTGATCAGGGGATTTTTTAGAAAACAAAGTCAAATAGATTCCATGGCCCGAAGAAATTTGCAGATCTTAGGTATATGATCCTTCCACCAATTATCTGTGTATTCACTGGAACTTTTGGACAATGTTTAGGGGTACCTACTGCATGTTGGAATTGGTTGATAAGCAACAATAACATCATACCGATTATGCCAGTGTTCAAAATTCTGGATTTATCTCCTCTAGCATTTTAATAAGGACAATGAATGTGGTGGTGGTGGTGGCAGGATGAGGGTCTGTGAGACAACCTAAAGTCAATGGTTTAGGGCACAGTTATCCAAACCTGTGGCTTTCCTGGGGCATATGTAAAATATATAGTTAATATATATAAATAACAATTTTTTTTATTTTTATAAACATAAAAAATGTATATAAATTATGTACACAGATATATACATACAGAGAAGAGCAACAAAGATGATCAGGGGACTGGAGGCTAAAACATATGAAGAATGGTTGCAGGAATTGAAAGTGAGATGGGAGAGTGAGATGAGTCCCAAAGACAAACTTCAAGGATCTCAAAGAAACCAACACAAGAACTCTAAGCACCTTGCTTTCAGAGGGGGAAAAATGAAGGCAATGATGAGGATTTTCCAACAACGGCAAGGATTAAAATTGTCAAAGCAATTATGAAGTGATCTCAATTACTTACAGGGTAGAACTAAATGTTAGAAAATAAAAATGAGGTCCAGAAGGAGTTCATTAATGGTAATGTACTGCTGTGAAAGCTGGACACTGAGAAAAAGGAAGACAATGAATTATGGATCTGGAGATAGTTACTAAGACTTGGAATCAATTCTGGAAGGAATAAAGATTGACTGTTCTTTTGGGGAAATTGAACAGCAAGCACGTACTTTGGTTCAGAAGCGTGGATAATGGAGTAGAAAAAGACAATACTCAGCAAGGAATAGAAGTATGGAAAGGTGACGTATAAGATGGTAATTACAATCAGGGATATCATAGGAAGATCCTTGCAAGATTGCAGATCCAGTATAAGTCAAGGTGGTAGGCATATGCAGTGGCAGTGCAGACGTCCATTATTATTTTGAGGGGTTTGGTGACATATTTTGATTTTTTTCCTCACATTAAGAAAAGTCTAGAAGTATAGACTTTATGCTGAGTTAACTTGCCTGTTTTTTTTACTCTTATTTACTGAATAAAAGAGAAGGGATGGGAGGGAAGGAGAGAATCTTTCCATAGCTGCAAATTTGTGAAAGTCATATGTCACTCAGTTAAAACCAGGTCTTACAGTCTCATGACCATAAAAGGGCCAGAAAGTCGTAATGTCCGGTTTTGATTAAAAAAAAAACCTTGGAGTTGTTGTTCTTTGTAGGAAGCCTCTGCATAAAACCTAGCACTGGGTCCTGTGGAAATTGGAGTCTCTCTGCTCTCACGATTAAGGAGCTCCTGACAGCTTATTAGAGATTTCGATCTCATCTTGTTTGGTACATATGCTTTTTATGTTATGCTTTTAAATTTCTTTGAGTTCATAACAAAGCTTAAAAATCTCTTTATTCGCTGGTGTGCTTATTGTCTCTGGATCCAAAATAACCAACTTGACTGGGTTCTTGATCACTGCCCTGACTCTTAGCAAAATAGCATACTGCATTCAGCCGCATAAGTTTGAATCTGATTTGATGGTACCTAAATATTACTCATAAGCCACATCTCTAGGGAAGGAAGGAAAGGAAATTCCGTGCATTCTCCTAGTGCTACTTTCTCTCTAAAGACAGGCAAATATATGACGGGGATTTCCCCATTTAATGCAGATAGTAGGAGCTTTTATGATCCCCTCTCTTTTGGGGGAAAATAACTGCATGCACCTGTGGATGATTTGTCCCCTACCTGTAGGCAAGGAGTTCTTCTGGCTCACCGAATTCTTTGGAGTTCCCGGGACACTGCTTGGTCGCTCCCAAGTAGTCTCTGTTAAAAATAGTAACAAATATCAGTATCAATAGTCATAATCACTAATACGTGCACATAAGACCTTTGTTTTCTCCCCCACTCCTATACAACCACACATAATGGATCTTATAAATGCCAATCATCACCAGACCAAAGTGTTAATTCATGAAGAAATGTGCTCTTTCGTACAGTGTTCAATGCCAGTTCTTTCAGAGAAAATGGTATTCATTAAGATCCCTTTAGGCAGTCTTCCCACTTGAAGGAGGAAGTTGCTCTACAGGCCCGACAACCTACTGTGATTCTAGTCAGTTATGTGTCAGATTGAAACACCCTACATGTCTAGACTGTGGGAGTCAGAAAAGCTGGAAGAATACACCTCAATGCCTACAAACCCAGACTGGGATTGTTTATATCAGTTGTTATATTAGCCAACCACGACTGTTTTCTACAATATGTCAACACTCATTAGAACTGAGCTATCAAACTGTCCTGAAATATGTGAAGGAAAGAGCATAGGTAGAGTACATTTCCTGTACAACTGAAGAATCACAATTATGAGGTCAACAGACTTTCTTTTAGAAAATAAAAAAGGGTTGTCTGTGCCCAGCTGTATAGCAGAAACCATGTCCCTTTCACTGATGTACCTTTTCCCCCCACTTCAAATCAAGCATTTTTGCTAAGTGCAAAAATGTCTCTTTATTTAGCTACTGGAACATGGAAACATTATCTATTTCATCATGCATTTCATAACATCTGGGCTGAACGAGGATGGAAACAAGCGTTAAGGAATCGCTGCAGCTGTTTCCAAATGATAACTGCAGACAACATCTCTGACTGTAGATGGTGCTATCAGTTTGAATTAGCCACAGACTGCAGCTCCACCTTCCAGGTTATTTCTGCAGATCGGGATTTGCTGCAAGCATAGATGATTTTAAAAACATCTACACAGTGTTTGTATTGAGAAACTGCATGCTTGCCTTCTAAGAGTCAAACACGTAGTATTCAAAGAAGGGAGCAAATCTACATCTAAAATCTACATGTGAAAATGCTTCAAAAAATAGGAATACAGGGAGGAAGGTTGGAAAAGCTTGCAGGAAAGGGCATTGATAAGCTAACACACATAATCATTGATTACAGACTACTGAAAAATGGAGTTATGTACCGACAAGATTTGGTGGTTGATGCCCAATGAAATTATCCAAAACTATAGATCAAATACCTGCATAGCTTAATACTTCACCAGGCCAGCAAAATACTATGCTGACTCCTGTTATTTTCATATATTGTTTTTTTAGATTCCCAGTTATTGTTTTCTCAATCTTCCTTTTTCTTTGGACACGGATGGATTTGTGCTAATCGCTGATCTGCGTAGCCTGCATAACCAGCTTTGTTCCTGCTTCGCAATCTATCTTCCCGCATCATAATATCAGTTTTTTGTGTCTCACTGGTTTTACATAATAGTAAACTATAAACATTCACAATGTTTTTCTGCCAGATCACACTATGTTCACATGGAAAATGAACAAGTATCATTCACTCACTGCACGATTTGTTCTGCTTCTATTGCAACAATAACACAGTTTTCTGTATACCGTTTTGCAACTGAATTCCCTTCAAATATCCTGTCACGTATCATAAACACCACCTCCTAGTCCACGGTACATAAACAGGAATAAGAGGGCATTAAAAACACAAAAAAGACAACAGTATTAGCTATAGAATACCGCTTTCTAAGCCTTCTGCTACCTTTTAAAAAGTATAAAAGATAAAAAGCTTTTTATGCAGATTTTAATACACATTCCACTTTTTCAGGACAATGTATTTTAACTGGAAAATCTAAGATTTCATGAAGCAATTCCACAACTCTGCCTGCTAAGACCTTTTGACTACTGTAGAGATGACAAAGCATCAATATTAATCATGATACCTGTAAAATTACTGCACACTGCCACTTACATATTGTCCTTTATCTTAAGTGATAAACAAAAGTGGTGATAACACTTACAGCATAAGTAAATCAAAGCTACCATAAACACAGTACCGAAGAAAAGCTCTATGTGGATATGCCTTACATGATTATTCACATGGTTCTCATGCTTGGGGTTTCTTTTCTTTCCAAATTATGTTTGTGGTTGATGGATCATAATCATCCATCATAAATGATTACATTTTAGTACACTATAATTAGAAAGCAGATCTCTGGTTCACATGAAAAAAATCCACACTTTTCACTTGTTTCCAGTGATTCAGATTATGAATCCATTCTTCCAGTTAATGTATGAAGCTAGATCATGGTTCCTATAGCCATCGTTGTTAATGGATGCAAAACCTGAATTGTGGATGTGTTAATGCATAAACTTGTTGTTTTCCAACATACTGGCTGAGAATTCTATGAAGTGTAATATAATACACTTGTATTACTGAGGGTGCCAAGTAGTAGAAGATTGTATTATATTATATATTTTGTTTGACTGCAGCTGTTTCCCTAACAATATCTGCTTTATTCTTAACATATATAACAACAATAGAAATATATAGGAAGATATAGGAAATATAGGATGGAGTAGTGCAGTGGCCTAGAGGTGGAGCTCTTGCCTCATAATCAGGAGGCCGTGAGTTTGATCCTCGGTAGCGGCAGATATTTCTCTCTCTGGGAACATTGAGTAATTAGCTGCTGCAAACTCTGCATTGATGAAGGAAGGGCATCCGGCCAGTAAACACTCAGCTCCATTCAGTTGCCCCGACTCCATCCCAATACAAGGGATAACGGGGTCATTAAAAGAGGAGTGGGGGAGAGAGAAAGAATGCAAATACATGATATAGGAAAGTAATTGAGTCATCTGTGTTATTTCTAGGGCTACTTGAGGCTTTACAATGAGAAGGAGCATGTATAAAATACTTTTTCACCAATCATAAAAGAAGTTGCATAATGTGCAAATCCCAGTTGCTTCAGAAGTTTTCCTGGCTCTCCCCACATGCATGTGTATGCCCAGCCCTAATTTTCAGTACTACTCATCCGGCAGCCAAACATCCGTCATTTTAGTCAGCCTCCTGGAGCTCTGTTAACTGAACACTCTTTCCTTTTTTTTAAAGGATTGCCGTCAATGATGCAAAAATATTCTTGGCCCAAGTATTCAAGTGCAAATTATTAGCCTCTGCAGGTTAAAACATAAAATAAAGCAGCACCGAAGGCAAACAATTAGCAAGTGTAGTATTATTAATGCTAAAATTTGCTTGGCATTCAATTTCCTATTTAACTGTCTGAGTTAGCAGCTTTTATTTTAGACTTGTTTGGAATGTCTGCAGAGTAGGTTATTGCAGTGTAGAATGCATAGTTCAGAATACAAGTATTTGATTAAAGTGTGGAAGCATTAGCACTCTGTGTGGATGTGACTTGAAGATGGAAAGAAAAACACGGAATAAGTAGTATTCAAGGAGCTTGAAAAATCAATAAATTCTCTCTCTGAAATTTTAACTTATCCTGAACTATCCGCTGAAATCTCCACATTCTTCTGTTTTCTGGTATTGCTATTTCTGCTATTTTCCACTATTTTCCCTTAACTGGATAATATTAAAATATATCTAGTTATTTTAGGATTAAATTTGAATTTTCATCCTTTCTGGGTAAACTATTAATGTTATACGTATTTACACATTTACATGTGAAGTGCTGATTGCACATGATGTATTTGATGTTAATAAAATGGCATTTAGATATGGCAGAATTGATAATGATAGACAGATGATAGATAGATAGATATAGACAACAGACAGACAGATAGACAGACAGTTATACAGACAGATTATAGATAGATTACTGTAGATAGATAGAATTGATCTACACAATATCCATTCCAGCAGCTCCTTTCATGATAACAAAGTGTAAGTTTATGCCTTAAAAATGGCAATAATTATTCTCCATGGAAAATTGTAAGGTTATAGTTTTCCCATTACTCCTAGAAAACATGTCATTTTTTTGTTAAAGAACTATTCAACCTTCCTGGATTCATAAAGAAAATCATGAAAGATGCAAAGTAATTATATGCCACAGCAGTACCATGAACAACAAACACTCCTACTATTGTTTTAACACTGAGGGAAGCTATTGGAAAAAAATTCTTGAGAAGTTAATTCTCTGAGAAAATACCCATCTCCACAGGAGAAAATGCTTTGAAAACTGAATAGAGTAAACTACTTATATACTCAAATCTGAGGTCATTCTGCACAAAGATAGTGAAAGAGAATAGGAGAACTCTTAGGAGGATCTGCCTTAAAAATGGAATTATATAGGAAATAATGTAGCACCTGAAGGATATTCATACACTTTGTAGAGCACTTTTTGACCCACATAAATGGTAGGAGATAACTAGTTTAGATTTAGATTTACTTGCCAACAAGGAGTAATCCTTTCATATTTTTAAGAGACATTATTTTGAAATTGTTTGCAAAATGCAAGTGACATTTACACACTGTGATAGTTTTTGCTAGAACAACTAACTGAAAGAGCATCAGATGCTGATAGGATGATAATCATTAGAGACTCAGGACTGATCTGCATTGTCTGCATGAATACAGGTCACCCTACGGTTTAGGAAGGGCAGGAAAGGATGATTTCATCCTCAGCTTGTTGCTGGGGAGGTGACTTCCACCTAATGTTTCTTATTCTTCACCAAAGGTAATATTTTCTCCTTTCTGTCACACATTAGGAAGCCAACCCACCAGTTGCACTTCATTCCATCTTACACCAATGCCCCAGTCTCTACTGTAGCGACTTTGCCTTTCTCCCGGTCACCACTCTCTACCTTGATGACCATTTCATACGAGCTGCCTGCCTTGAAAGGGTGAATTTCCTTTTTTAGGTTAAGTTGTGAAATGGTGGTGACATGCTGGCTTTTTCTTAATTGGCTGAATAAAATAGCAATAGTGTTTAGACTTAGATATACTGCTTCCCAGTGCCTTACTAAGTGGTTTTACAGAGTCAGCATATTTACCCCAACAATCTGGGTCCTCATTTTACC